AGGAAAAACCCAAAACAAAAATGTCAGCATGACTGGCTACTACAAGAATAATAAACAAGCTGTTCGCTAGGAAGACATCAAGGCAAGCAATCAAGTTCCTTCAGAACAAGCTCCCCTCTAAGACTGAAACTCAAAGGAACACACAAACATGCATGTCAGCTTGCTGGTAGCCACATTGGTCTACTGGTGAGTGGAAGAGGGGGAAAGGCAGCAATGAAGAAATTGGCTGAGGTCAACCCCTTAACTCCCATTGACCTGGATATGAGAGAGAGAAGAGGAAGGGCTGGTTGGTCCAAAGTATGGTGAGACCTGAGGACACTTGAGCCCATGGACAAGGACATAGCCACAGAGAGATAAAACTGAAAATGAAGCATTCAGCTGATTTGAAGTGAGGGAAGATGCACAAGAACACCCAAACTTGCAGACAGTACCCATTTGACCTAGCCTTGATGGCTCGACAATCAGAACTCAGAGGAAGATTTAAAAAAAAAAAAAAAAATTTATAAAGAAAACCAAGGTAAGTTGCTACAATTTGATGAGCCTGACCTATGCTCAGAGAGGTAGTTACTGTAAATACCAACAGAGAAGGAAGGAGTCTTCACATCAAGTATCAATGCTATCCCCTCTGTACACAGGATAGATAGGGATGGGCAACTTAGACATTGGCACCTAAAATGAGGGGGCAATAAAGGTATGAAGTGACTGGCTTGCAAGTTTTCAAGAGGGAGTTTAGTTTAAGAGTATGGGGGCGAAGAAAGCGTTCCCAATGAATAGATTTCATCTTGTCTAGATGGGTCTGGTGAAAAGCGATGAGGATAAGATTCGTATGATTCAATAGTGAATAATTGTTATTATGACTAATTGTGACTGTCACAATTGTAAAAGAAGTTTTGTGACAAAAACAGGAGAGTGGTTAATCTTACAGTCCAGAAACAGAGGACCCTAGGACCATCAAGGGAGAAGCGCACAAGCAAATGTGAGACCTTATCCAGAGAATCAGCGATGTCAGAGACAGGGCATGGAGAGGGGGAGCGGCTGAGGACTCTAGATTCGTGGACTAAGAAGAGAGGGACTAAGAGCTGGTGGCCAGGAGGCAGACTTGCAGAATGTGCCCTTTGGAGATGTAAATTATTATATATGCCTGAGTGGTTTTTTGTGGTTTTGTTTTGTTTTTTAATAAAGCTAAAGTGGATAAAGAGATATACTGTTAACTGATGGTACATGAAGGGGCTTATAATCATTGTAAGGAAACAAGGTATATGATTTGTTGAATGTAAAACTGATGATCTGCCATATAAACTTTCAGTCAATCCACAATAAAAACCATAAAAAAAAAAAAAAAAAGGTGAAGAGAGACTCATCTTCAGCAGGAGTTCAGGATGGGGTTGGTGGGAGAGAAAAAAACAGTGTAATAACAAAGTAAAGAAATGTTTTAGTTTATGTGGTTTGTAAACTGGTTTGGAAGCAGCACTGTTGGACCAAGTACAGAGCTGTACTTGGAAACCATATGGGGTACTTCGCCTCTGATATACAGAGTTGCTATGAGTTAGCACCAATTCCATTCAACAGCACAATACAGCATAGCTGTATTACTTACGTTGAATGACGACATTCATTTGACTGTGTAAAGCCTTCAATGTTTACTGAAAAATCCATACCCACTGTTATGTAAAACAGCAGAAAGAAGAAATTCATTTCTCATTCTCTGCTCATCTGCTAATGGTCTAAGGAGGTTCTCTCTCTCTTTCTCTCTCTCTCACACACACACCTGCCGAGCCCTCAATCCCTCATCTTTAAAAGGATCCCAAGAGCTCTCCAGCTTTAGTGTTGTGTGGCTTTGCTTTGTAGCATACCTCACCCAGACCTGTGTCACACCTAGACATCCACACTGTCTTGTCACCACTGAGTTTTTGACCAATGGAACCTTTTGTGTAAACACAGAGGAATTTGACAAGCAGTTGACAAACTATAAATCTAATCTAGTCTAGTTGCCTTCTTTTTAATTTCAGTTCTGGTACTTCCTTCACAAAGATACATTCAGATGATGCACATCATACAAAGTAAATCTGAAGAAAAATGTTCAGATACACATTTCCTTACAAAGTGTATAACACATATTGAACAGTTTCTTCATCTGTAAAAAGAGATACAAATATAATTATTTCTATTTTTCATATTCTGTATTACGGTTTAGTAGTTCTTTGAAGCAATTAACCTTCCGCCAGGATGTGAAAAGACCCGAATTCAACAAGTCTGTACGTTCATGCTTTTGACTTCCTTTGCAGTCGTGAACAGAGTAATGATAAGATAGTGATGGAAATTTTATCTGACATGTTGAAGCGGCTCCCACTGACTGTAGAGAAAGAAGAAAGTTCTGGAACTGCAAACACATTAAAGAACATGATGTCAAGTCCCATTTGGATGTCTCTTAATACACATGTCAAAGGTGAGCATGGGACATGAGCCTCCTCAGGGAGGGACTTTGGCATGAAGGGGAAGGTAGATTAAAGAAAGGACAAAAGTACAACAGAAGTAAAATGAGTAAGGCAGATGGAAAGCTAAGTCTCCATCACCACCTCTCTCCAAACCGGAAGGCACAATGGAGAGAAGATGAGTTTGATGGGAATGACATCCATGCCAAAAATGAAGAAATAATAAAGATAAAAAACCAAAAAAGAGCAACTCTGCTTGCAAAGTTCTAAGGAATTTCTAGGTCCCTGTTCTCTGCCTCTGACTTCTAGAACAGCAGTGAGGGAAGGCCCAGGGGAGACAGCGGAAGCCTCGTTGTCCAGAGTTGGTTCAGGCTCAGCTCTGAGAGGCAAAATTGCTGGACTACAGTAATTGTCCCAGGTAACTTTTCAACATCAGTATCCTAAGATTTTGTAAAATCCACTTTAGCTGTCAAAATAGCACTATTGTTAAGATTAGACAAGGGGTTGGCAAACGAGGGGGCATGAACCAAATCCAGCCCACCATATGTTTTTGTACAGCTTATGAGCTAAAAGGGTTTTTACTTTTTTTAATCATTAAAAAAAAATTTTTTTAAGACTATTTGTGACACACAAATATTATATAAAATCCAAAAGTCAAGTGCCCATAAAAAAAATTCCTTGAATTACAGCCATGACCATCCATTGCCTACAATTACATTTACACTGCAAAGGCAGAGTTGTGTGGTTATGACAGAGACCATATGGCCCACAAAGCATGAAGCATTTATTATCTAGATTTTTTACAGAAAATGTTTACCAACCCCTGGGCTAGACACATGAAATGTCTTGAACTTGCAAAGCTTATATCAGCCCATGTAAAGCCTCCTTTTATCTGTGAAATAATTATATTTGTATCTCTTTTTTTTTTTATCTAGGTCATGATCCTCTTATCCATTGTGTTCTGCTTACCTTTTTGATACAAGAAATTGAACGATTTGATAAGTTATTGTCTGTCATACATAATTCCTTGAAAAATCTTCAACTCGCTTTAAAAGGAGAGATTATCCTTACAGAAGAATTGGAGAATATATATGACTCCTTCCTTAAAACAAGAGTGCCTACGTTATGGAAAGTAAGCAATTATTATTTATTTATTGCTTGATTAAAATAAATATTCAAGAGCAAGGAAATAGAAAACTATAGCAGATCCACATGATGAAATATTGTAATATTATGCAACCATTAAAACCTTCAGTTAATAACATACTTTTTGGGTTGAGTATACATGAATACAGGGCCTTGGTGTGGCACTGTGGGATAAGTACTGAACTGCTAACCATAAGGTCAGAGAGGAGAAAAGTGGCCTATGAATGATACCGTTTAAAAAGTAGAGAATTAGAAAGTTAGGCTCCAGTGCACTCAGAGAAGCAAAGGCAAGAGAGGGACTTAGGAGAGGAAATAATTGATTTGATCAAAAATCAATTTGGGCAACAAGATGATGGACTGGGCAGACACATTGTGTGGACCCTCTACAACAAAGATATGAGAGCCAGCTTGCCAGTCACTCCTGAGAAAAAGATGAGGCTTTCTGCTTCAGCAAAGATTAAAAAGCCACAGCCCTGGGTGAGCGATGATCCAGGACAAGTCCTGATTTGTTGTTGTTAGGTGCCATCGAGTCAGTACCAACTCATAGCAACCCTATGCACAACAGAACGAAACACTGCCCAGTCCTGGGTTAAGCTTACAATTGTTGCCACACTTGAGCCCATTGATGCTGCCACTTTGCCAATCCATCTCACTGAGGGTCTTCCTCTTTTTCTCTGACCCTCCACCTTACCAAACATGATATCCTTCTACTGTCACTGGTCCCTCCTGACAATATGTCAGAAGTATGAAAGACGAAGTTTAGCCCTTCTGGCCTCCAAGTAGCACTCTGGCTGCACTTCTTCCAACACAGATCTGTTGGTTCTTTTGGCAGCCCATGGCACTTTCAATATTCTCCTCCAACACCATAACTCAAAGGCATCAATTCTTCTATGGTCTTCCTTATTCACTGTCCAGCTTTCGCATGCATATGAGGTTATTGAAAATACCATGGCTTGGGTCAGGTGCACCTTACTCTTCAAACTGTCATCTTTGCTCTTCAACACTTTAAAAATGTCTTGTGCAGCAGGTTTGCCTGATGTAATATGTTGTTTGATTTCTTGACTGCTGCTTCCATGATTGTTGATGGAAGTCCTGATATCCTAGCAAAAGAAGAATTATGGGAGACCTGGTGTGGCACTGTGGGTTAATGCACCAGACTGCAAACCCATTTGAACTGCAAGGTTGGTGGTTCAAGCTCACCAGCTGCCCCTTGGAAATCATAGACTGGGCCACTATGGGTAGGAACTGACTCGACAGCATTTAACAACAACAGCATTCAAAACATCATTCCTCAAGATAGAGACTTGATCCCAATGATGAGCTTTGGATGCGAGGTAGGGAAGGGTATGTGCCACTGTTATTTTGAAACTGAGTTATATCATTCAAACAAACAACAACAAAAAAGGAACCATCTCTGATAGTTTATTCGTGGGCTACAGGGCAGACACTTATTGATATGAGTGACTGAGCAGACAATATACAACAAGAGGGAGGTAAGCAGAGGAAAGATGGAGACAGCAGGAGACACAGGGAGACTTGTAATAGTTTAGTGAACAGAGGTAAGAGCTGTTAACTGTTAGTGCATGGAGGGGATTGCAAACATGTAATGAAGCAAAGTGTATGATTTGTTGAATGTAAAACTGATGATCTGCTCTGTAAACCTTCACTCAATTCACAATAAAAAGTAAAGAAAAAAATTTGGTCAAAAGCTGCAGAAAATACAAATAAGACCATGGCTAGGGTTAGAGGGGAGTGTGTCATTGAATATGGAAAGCAAAAGTTTGGTTGTGAAGTTCTAATGAATTCCTGGGGACAGACACCAGAAAACAATAGGTTTGGGAGTTTTAATGGCTGTTGTTGTTAAGTGCCGTCGAGTCGATTCCGACCCATAGCGACCCTGTATAGGATTTCCGAGGAGCAGCTGGTGAGCTTGATTGAACCGCCAGCCTTGTAGTTCAAACAGCTTTGCAGTCTGGAGCATTAGCCCACAGTGCCACAGTCTAGAAGGGACATAAATGAGCTTCAGTAAGCCTGACTATAAAGAAAGAGACCATAGAGCCACAGTAGGATCAAGTGGTGGTGGTGGTGGTTATGTGCCGTGGAGGCTGCTTCGACACATAGAGACACGGCATAGGATTTCTGAGGCTGTAAATCTTACGGGAGCAGAAAACCTCACCTTTCTCCCACGGAATGGCTGGTACTTTCTAACTGCTCACCTTGAGGTTAGCAGCCCAACACTATGGTACCAGAGTAGTTTTGAGTATTTAAGGAAGAAAAGCATATTAGTAAGCACAGGAGTAGAGAAAGCTGAAGCTGAAGAAGGAGAGGTACTCCAGGCTGGACATGCAGCGTACAAGGGCAAGAGTCAGGTTTACTCTGAAATAGAAGGGAAAGGGGAAGAGAGAGCCGGCAGTGGATGGAGATTGATACAACTTTGTATAGGGAAAAGCCAGGATGTTGACATTGGAAAGCCAGGTTGTTAAACAAAAATCAAATCCAAGCTTGGTTAAGAGAGACTTTATTCAAAAGACTTGTTGCAAGGGGAGAGAAGGTGTGGTGGTAGAGCTACTGCACTAGTACAACCAGGAGTGCTTTAACCACAAGACCTGCACATGTCTCAAGAATTAGGCAAAAGAGGGTTTTCTTTTATAGATATGAATAAACAAGTCTAGAAGAGACATCTGTGGGGAAGTGGGTTTACAGAGTGACAGGATCACATAAAATATCAGAGAATGTTTACTCTGAGGCCAGACTGTTCTCCAGGAAGGTTCCTTAAGAAGGACCTTGTAGAGAAAGGGACTGGCGCTCTCTGGACCAGATAGGGCTCCGAGGAAAAGGGGCAGAATCGAACACAGGAAACCTCAGTCTAGCAGACAGACAACCTTTGAACAAACATAAGATCTTATATTTCAACATTCTGAACTCGTTTTTTTAAAAGATCAAATTGCTGAGGAATCACAGGCATTTTTGAGCTTTTGCCTGCCTGCACACGGCTCCCGCTTCCGTGCCCGTGCTGGTGAAAGCCTCTGCCCCCTGCAGACCTTGGAATGCAGGGCTAGAGCAACCCCACTTAGAAGGCTGCATTTCCAGAGAAAAGGAAGCATAAACTAACAAAGCCGAGCAAATAGAGAGGGATATCAGCATGGATATCAGGAAATTCAGGGTACCCACGGTACAGAGAGAATGAGAGAGGCATCTTTTACATCATCAAATACAGACACTACCTCCCTGCAGCCATTACCCTCAGCCCTTACTGCCCCAGCCTAGACCAGCCCTCTGCCAAGCCACCAAGGCACAGGCCCGCCCACTGAGGCCAAGGCCCTCCCAAGGCCCAGACACTCCCACTGAGGCCAAGGACTGCCGTGAGGCCCAACCCACCCAAAGACTGGTCACAAATGCCCAGGCCTAACCAAGACCCAGTCACCACTGAGGTCCAGGGCCCCCAAGGCCCAACCAACTGTGTAGCCACATCGCGGAGGCCCAGGGCTCCTAAGCCCCAAGCCGCCACGTAGCTCGGTTGCCAAGGCCCAGTGCTCCTGAGACCCAACCCGCACTCAGCCCGGTCCCGAGGCACAGGCCCCCCGAGGCCCAAGCCGCCCGATGCCCAGCTGCTGATACCCAGGCCCCCAGAGGCACAAACCACCCGCCCAAGGCCCAAACCACCTGCCCGAGGACCAACCCTCCTGCAGCCCGGTCGCTGGCGCCCAGGCCCCCAGAGGCCCAAACTGCCCACCCTAGGCTCAACCCACCCGCCCGAGGCCCAGGCCCAACTGAGGCCCAAAAAAGTTACTCTGAGTTAAGCAATAAGGAGAGTGAAAAGGGAAGACCACATCCTGATCACATCTTCCTGGAGGTAATCAGAAAACATAAAAAATTACCAAAA